CGGGGTTAAACTCTGCTAAGCAACAGAGAGCGGTGAGGGACTCACATTTCACGGGGTACGTTTCCTCTCCTGAGCCTTGCTCAAGATATAGGAGGAGAGATGATAAGAATCACCAACTCTGGAGCAAGAGCCCATGGGAGCAACTCTGATTCTCCTTCCGAGCTGTAGACCTAGGGTGAGTCACTTAATGTTCCTGTGCCCCCCTTGTCGTATCTGTTTTAAAAAATCAGTCCAGGTTCAAGCCTCAGCACTATAAAAAAGCTAAACAAGACAAAGTTTAAAAATCAGAACTAAAAAAAAAACCAAAATGATAATTATTTCGCAGGTTTGTGTGAGCAAAATATTCTAAGAACTGTAAAAGTTCAGAACAGCATCTGGCCTGTAGTAATGCTTACAAATATTAATCATTATTCCTGGTTCGCAAATTATCCAAGGGCTTTAAAGATGAAGGACAAGACATAGAGACAAGGAAATAAGATGCTAGAGCAGCTCAAAGCCTTGTCCCCAAGCCCTGGACAAGTCCAGAAGAGAGCTGGTGTTAAAACAGTTACCTGGGGCTTTCTGTAGACTTTGGCTTGGCTGACACTGCTGGCTGCACAGGGCAGAGTCTGACCAAGGGTGTGTCGGCAGTGCTCTGAGCCACTGGGCCAGGCGTCCTCAGAGCCTTCCCAGCTGACTTCAGAGACCAGGCCTTTGGCAGCCCAGTTCCCTCCTTCCATGCTTTATTTGTGTCTCTCTTTTCTAGTACAGCATGTTTGCTTCAGAGAAGCCAAGGTGGTTCCTGGTGGATCTCACCTTCCTTTGATGGAGGAATGGCAGGGGAGGAGGGGCCCAGCCCAGGGTTCTGTCCTTGTGGGTGGGCAGATGGAGTGAGGCAGGCAGCAGGCAGGTGGAGGAAATCAAAGGGCTCAGCATCAAAGGTAAGAGGAGCCAAGCAACTGGAGGATTCTTCCCTCCTCTGAGATTGGATCTGCACTTTCATTTGCAAATCTTAGTAAGTTTCAAACAACAGATGGAGAGGGCTGCTGGTTCTCTCACCCAAGGAAGGTGTTCATGAACAGATGTGGGGATGTGATGTAGATACAGCTCCTGGGAGCTGTGAAGGGAAGGGAAGGCAAGTTCTAGAGGGTGGAGCTATTGTGAGAAGTACACACAAGGTTCTCCTGCCTTCTTTGAACTTGCCTTCCTGTGAGAGGAGACAGACCACACCTAGAAATCATGTCAGAAAGTGTGAGAGAAAACAATAACAGCAAAACCATGGTGCATTGGATTGGGTGGTCCAGGAAGCCTCCCTGGGAAGGCCATGTTAAATGAAGTGGGGTCTCCACAAGTGGGCCTGGAGAAGTGATTCCTGGGAGAGGAAAGAGAGGTGCAGAAAGAGTTTTCGCGTGGTAGAGGAACAGCAGGGAGCTTAGCAAGGCTGGAGCAAAATCAGTGAAGGAGAAGATGCCCACCCAAGTGGGGCAGGAGCCTCCAAGACAGGGACAGAGAGAGCAGAGTACAGCCAGACCTGTGGGAGTTGAAAGTGTGGGACATCTGAGGGGTTTAAAGTGACCACTTGGCTATGAGGTATAGAATGGATTTCAGGGGCAACAGAAGCAGGGAAAATTATAGGAGGACTTTAGGAATCTCGGTGAAAGGTGCTTTATACCAAGCTGGCATAGATGCTGGAACTCGAGGGAGTGGGCATGTTGAGGCCATGCGATGACCACAGCGGACACGACCTTGTCTTGTGTCTCCTAAGTGATGACCACAAAGGACTTTTGCCAGAGATGCCACAAAATAGACTCCAGGGAGAGAAGACAGAGCACAGCCAGGCCTGTAGTGTCCAGGAAAAAGAGTACTAGCCACATGAGCCAGGCTCTTCTTCACCCCAGGACTTGGCTGATAGTGGGGTGCCAAGCCCAGTGGCTGCTGGCTTTCTCTCTGAGCAAGTGCCCCTGCTACAGAAATTCATCAGTGCTTGGAAATGAGATGCGCTGGGAGCTTCGGAAGAGGGAGGGGGGCCAGCTGACATCAGGACACAGACATCATAGGGCCCAGGCTTCTAAACCAGTCTTGGCTCTGGGCCCCAGGGAGGGGCATCCTTGGAGCATCTGGTTCTGGTCTGGAGGGATCCTCTCACTTACAGAAAGGCCCCGAGGAGAAGGGTCCAGGAAGAAGCCCGAGGGAAGGGCAGGTCACATTCAGAGGCCTTTGCAACGAAAACACCAGCTTTTACCAGCCCACCTCCAGGGCCAGGGAACATGGCACATCCAGCCAGATCTTCCTGCCCTTCCCAGCTGCCCCAGCCCCAGCCTTGGATCCTGTCTGTGCCTCTATGAGGCCACCTTTCATGCCAGCCTTTCCTGAGCATCTTTGTTTTCCTCCTCTGCTCCCAACTGCTCCTTACAAACTCACAGGTCCTCATCCCCTTTATTGCTGATTGAATTGGTCTCAGTGGGGGGCAGCCTGGAGCTCAGGGCTCCTAAGCACCACGTGTCTGGGAGACACCTTTCCACTGACTTCCGAGGATGCCATTTTTTACATTGTAATTTTTTGTGACTTCTTTTGTCCAGAAACAAAGCCAGTTTACTTGGGGCCAGATCTAGCTATATGCCCTGCCCCGCTGTATTCTGTGCCCGGAGACCTCACGCAGCCAACCCTGGGCTCTGCCTCCCAATCAGCGCCGTGGTAAACTGAGACATGAGATTCAAGGGCCTGGTGTGTGTGCCTGCTGGATGCTCTGCCAGGTGACTTCTGGTGCCCTGTTAGGTGGAGATGCTCCATCCCCCAGGAGATGGATCTCAATGGCTGCATCGGAAGCACACAGAGCTCCTGAGAGTGCTCCCTGTGTGACTAAAAAGCAGGGTGAATACACTTTTTAAATGTATCACCAGAAAAGACACATTGCTGTGAATCCGGCTCGAAATGCTCTCTCCCCTGCTTTGGACCCTCATACCCATCCTTCCACTTCCGAAAGCAGAGCGAGAAGCCCTCTGTTATGCCTTCATTTGTAGCGTTGTGGCTGCCCGACATCCCCAGTTGAGTGAAAACATTTACCTATCATGATCGCTTTGACGTGGGGGAGCAGCCAGATGTTGCATGGTGCCAGATCCAGGGAATGAAATAGATGCAGCTGCACTACAATGGTCTTGTGTGTGTGTGTGTGTGTGTGTGTGTGTGGCCAGCTCAGCCCACCAGGGGGCGGGGCCGGCTGGCATGTGGTGCTGGGGGATTGAACCGCGGTCCCTGTGCTTTGCTAAACTTGTTCTAAGTAGGTGCTTTAGACCACTGAGCCATCTCACCAGCCCACTACAATGGTCTTAATGAGCCTGCCTTTCAGTGGACGCCGCTGGGCAGCAACATTCACCTTCATTTTTGTCACACCTCCCAAAGACACTCACGGAAGAGGACTCCAGGACTGCTTCAGAAAGTGGCAAGGATGATGGGGTGAGTGTGGGAAGTGAGAGCGAGGATTTTGAGAAGGGTCAATGCCACTGCGTCTTTCATTGTAATCAATTTGTAAAAGTTATACATTCACCATAATTTTTGATTGTCCCTTGTACTGCTGTTGTCAGTGAAAAGTATTCAGTGTCCTCAGCTCGTCTGAAGGCAGAGGCTGGACTGCACATGCGGGCAGGCCCACCCCAGAGCCGCCTGCTGCTGTCGGGGAAGGCTTCGAGGCCGCTCAGCTGGAGACTCAGGGCAGCCTGCTTCAGTCCTGACAGCTCCTGGCGCCAGCCTTGAGGGTTGGAGCAAAGGGCCTTGGCAGGCTCAGAGCCGCCCTGCCCAGGAGCCGGAGAGACCGAGCTCACTCTGCCCGGTGTCCTTAGCAGTGGGGCACACAGCAGAGGCCGGGGCTGCAGGACACTTACGCTGCAGCCAGGGTGCAGTGAGGTCTCTTCCAGGGAGAAGAGCAGAGCGGGCAGAGAGGACCCACCCCCCCCGCCCAATGAGACGGTGGTCCACAGCGACCCCAGGGGCTTTCTTGTGTCTGCACTGTACCTTGGCAGTGGCAGAAGCACTGCTAGGTCTTCGGAGCGTGGCACAGGGCTGCTGCTTGACTTTTCACAGAGGCCTACAGTGATCTAATGCCGTGCTTAGCACCAGGGATAGCGTGTGAACTGGACCATGCAGGGCCCTGCTCTGAGACTTGGTGATGGGTGGGACTGGTTCCCCTAGAATCAGCCCCAGGGTTTCCGGCTTCTGCTCATCACCCAAGACAATGGGAGCTGTTGTGTCTGTTGCCAACGTCCCCTCTCGACTTCTGGATGCAGAGTTGAACCCATCATAGGTTTTTTCAAAAACCCAGATGTCGCAGAAGGGAAGTGCTGCCTCGATCATAAAGAACATTTGCCCTGCGTCTCTGCGCTTGCTCCCTGCCGGGTGGAGCCTTTCCCCAGCTCCCTGTGGGCCAGCAAGGAGGCTGCAAGGTGAGCGCCGGGGAGGCTGCCAGGGAGCAGCAGACCAGCAAGGGCAGGGCAGAGGCAGCGGGCCTTCCAGCCACGCGATGTGCCTCTCCCATCAACGCACTGCGGTCATTTACCAGCTGCTTTTTGAGCATCTACGCCTAGCCACTGTATCCTCGAGGATACCACAGTGTTGAGCGAATCGAGTTTCGCACCCACATGGTGTATTCATGGGAGAGAGACAATGAGGGTTTTTTTTTAATTTTATGGAAAAAATAAAATTTCACAACACTATAATGAATAGGAAGCAGCAGTTAATATGTTGTGATTGTTATCTTCAAAGTACTCAGAGTACAAGATACGGATATAAAAAATTCTCCAAATAATATTAGCACAAGTTTTTCTTTTCAAAGAGAAGCTAGTAGTATAACTAACTTGTATTTTTTTTCCTTTTCTTTCCTATCCTTCCCCCTGTGCTCACTCTAGTTTCTCTTTCTTGTTGAACAGTTTCTTTGCATTTCACAGTACTTATTGTACATTTTGGACCTTGTTTACTCTTTGTTAGATTGTTACACCAGGGAGGCAAAGCGATGTCTACACATGAGAGTCAAAACTACGGAAGGCTTCATGGATTTGGGGGTCATCCTCGCACAGGGGCCAGGCTGATCTTCTCTGTGCCATTCCAATTTTAGCATACATGCTGCAAAGAGAGCCCATAGTGAAAATTTTAAATCAGTAAGTATAAATGCAAATTCACCAGGCTAATCTGACTTTATACTAGGAGTGGGCAAAAGTGAACAGGATGTGGAGGCTGGGAATCAGAGGAGGAATCCTCTGTGTGGAGAAGAGCTTGAAGTGTCCCTAAGCAAGTGGCTTCCTAGGTGAGGCTGGAGAGGTGAAAGGAGCCTGTCTTTTGAAGGGTGGGACAGACCTTGTTCGGGGGGGGGGGGTAGGTGGGGACCATGGGCACAAAGGACCTGCAGCTTGGAGGACCTTGGAACTGATGGATGGCTGGTGTGAGCAGAGAGAGAAGAGAGCCGGAGGCCGAGGCAGGTGTCACTGTGCTCGGAGGCTGCCGTGAGTGAGACATGGCAGATTGGCTGTGGACCATGTCGGGGCAGGAAGTAGAGAAATGGACCAGTGTGGACTGATCCAGAGTGAGAGCCAGGGGGACTTGCTGAGGGGTTAAACGGGTGAGGACAGACAGAGGGAAGAGGGCATGATGTCCCCATTTCCAGTTGGAGCTGGAAGAGCCTGGGGAGTAGGAACAGGTCTGGAGGGTGAAACACAAGGGGGCTGACAGCATGGAGGTCAGTGTGGGGGGCCAAGCAGAGGGCAGGGAGCCCGATGGGAGGCTGGCCCAGGGGTCCAAGTGAGAGGGGGATGAGTGACCCAGAGAGGTGAGAGTAGTGATGCTGCAGAAACCAAAGTCCCTGTGAACTGAGTAGGAAGCACTTCCTGCCTCTCCAGCTGGCCTGGATTTCCATCTGTGAGGCGGCTGAGCAGGCCAAGTAGAAGGAGGAGCTCTTTTTAGAGAACACTGAGGTGAAGCCACCATATGGAGGGGAGTGGAGGCGGGTGATGTAGAAAACGGGGTCGAGACAGAGACCAGGCTGGGTTGGTTGGAGCTATGTGGCATCTTCTGCCACCGGCTGCTGGACATGGAGAGGACACGCTGGGCGCCATCTGTGCCGGAGAGAAAGCCCTCCTGGGAGACAGATGGCCAGGCAGTTATGCCTGGGGCTCCTGGTGGACCAAGGGGCCTCTCGGCTCTCTGCAGCAGGGTGACCTTCCTGGGAGTTTTGGGTGGGACAGCAGAGAGGCTGTGGGCACAGCAGGCTCTGGGACTTCTGCCCTCAAGGTCCCCACCCTTCCGCTCAGAGCTGGGCCCAGGCCAGACAGCTGAGTCAGACTCTTCTCTCCTTGGCCTTACTGTCCTCCAGAGGTGCCCCTGCCAGCAAAACACAGGGGCTGGTGACCATTGTAAGTGGCCACCTAGCCAACTCTTTTAGAACATTCATTCATCCATTCATTCATTTGCGCATGTGCATACAGTCAGCAAGCACTGAGCTTCTGTAACTGCAGGCACTGCCCTGGTGCTGGGAAGAAACTGAGCCAGGCCTAACTTCAGCCCTCAGGGAAAAGAGGCCCGGGACTGGGTAACGCAGGCCACCGTTCCCTCTTCCTCTCTCCCTCTGCACCCTTGGCACTCTGTGCCCTGCTCCCTTCTCGACCAGAGCCAACCACTGGAGCACTGTCCTTCCAGTCCCTGGACATCACACTCTTGACTCAGATAGATACAAACCTATGTCTCTACCTTTGTTTTAAGAGACTAAAATGTAGGCAGAAATCGTGCTATAGAGGACCCTGAACCCCATTTTTCTGAGCTCAGTCTTTCTTCCCAGGGCACTAAGGAGCCACTTAAGAATCTCAGGCAAGGGAATGACGTTAGAGCCCATTTGGAAGACACCTGCAGCGGTGAGGAGAAAGGATGGCGACATGAAGAGAAGGATAGCAGGGGGACCAGTTAGGAGGCCTTGGGGATGGTCCAGAGGAGAGATCGGGGGGCCCCTTGCCACAGCCCCCGACCTCACCCCGTGAACCTCCTCTCAGAGCAGAACCCACGAGGAGGCTCCTGCCTGGACCAGGACTTACAGAGGCAGGGCGTCTCGCCTGTATCTGAAGTCTCACCCACACTGATGGGGCAGCTGCTGTTTCTCAGACATCTCTCTTCACCCCTTTTTTAGAGCCAACTGCTACCTGCCAGAGGATGAGGACTGGACTCCTGCGGTTATCATTGAGGAAACTTTGCACCACCTAAGAGCTGTACCTGCCCCACCCCTCTCCGTGGCAGGATTTCCAGCCTCAGCCCGCCTGTGGCAGGAGCATGGAGGAGGACACAGTGCGTGTAGTGTCAGCTCTGGAAGCAGGGCTGGGGAAGTCCAGGGGGTCCCTGACGGTCCTGACCCCACCCAGCCCCATTCTTCTACTTTTTTTGTCCCGGCTCCCGGCTACCGGAGTGGGGGCGGGTCTGTAGCCGGGCTAGCTCTGAGGTCCTCTGTTACAAGAAGCTTCTCCCCATTCGGTTTTAAGGGAGGCCTGTCCCCGCCCCACTGTAACCACTCTGTCCTGCTCTTTGTTTTATTAGGCCAGAGAAGATAAGGAGAACAACTGCGCCATCTGCTGGACATCTTGGGCATCTCCAGCTGCACCCAGGTGAAGGGTAAGTGGAAATTTCCTTCCAGTTTGGATTCCAGTCTTATGAACCACTTGGGTCTCTTTTGGCTCCTTGCCAAATGATGTGTTTTGTGGGAGTTACCCCAGGGACAGGCCCCGAGTTCTTCGGTGTTGGGAAACTCCTAGAACCAACAAGGACCTTCTACTGCCTGTGTGCTCAGGTGTTGGGGACACTGTCGAGAACAGCACATAGGTGCTTCTCGGGAATCCAGAAGGATGAGCAGGTGGTCAGCCAGCTCAGAGGCAAGCGTTCCAGAGCCGGTACAGCAGGGACAAACGCCAGCAGTCGGAACTGTCGCCTCCAATGGGCCTGGGCAAGTCCCCTCTTTCCTTCCTGAACTCCAGCAGTTGGGGGAAAACCAGGACCTTCCTCTGCCTTGGAAACTCTGACAGTGACAGGAGTTCAGGAAACCAAAGTCAGTCCACCGTCAGCTGTCAGGGGGCTCCCTCCGCCCTTCGCCCGGGAACCCCTAGCAAAACTGGGGTTCCAGCTGTGCACTGGGGCCCTACTAGGTGGATTTAGGAAGAGCAGTGTAAGTGGACATTAACTCTGTCGAACCTCTCTCTCTCTCTCTCTCTCTCTCTCTCTCTCTCTCTCCTCTTTATTTAGTACAGGGTCTACAGGGTCTCACTATGTAGCTAGGACTCATAGTGATCCGCCTGTGCTCAGCCTCCCAAGAGCTGGGATTACAGGTGCGCGCCACCGCGTCCAGTCTCAATCGCCTTCTCGGCGCACCCTGGGGGCGGGCCCGGCACGGCAGGCAGCGGATCAAACTCCCTGGCTTTACATCTGCCTAAGCAGGCGCTTTAATCCGCTGAGCTATCCGGCCGGCCCTTCGAGCTTCCTTTCTAATCCATTCCATAGAATTCATCCACGGTTTACCACCACAGGTGAAGCACTGCGCCAGTTTGTGAAAGACATTGGGACACAAATGAACCTATGGGTCCTAGGTAGGCACTGTGCAGCTACTGTGGGGACCACACTCACGAGATATGGTCTCCATCCCCAAGAGGCACACGGGCGTCCACCCTTCCAGCCCCTGACAGTGCCTGTCTGTTCTCTGCTCTTCATGAAACCTGCTTCCAGGAGTGCAAGTGATCTGGAACCACAGTCAGCTGGGTAGGCAGTGACAATAAACGCTTCTTACCGTCCACTCTTTCTGTTTAGTAACAAGTCCCATCCACTCACTAATCCCTCTGCACCCTCGAGTGTTAGATGGACACGGATTGTCCAGCTAGAGCCTGTATTTCCTGCCTACCTTGCCGCTAAGTACAGACTACATGATGGCGAGCAGTAAAATGTGAGTGCTCATAGGGCACCAACTTCCGGCGCACACCCTCTCCCTCCTCTTCCTCCTCCTCCTTTCTGGTGGGATACAGACTGCGAGGACAGCGTTGAGCAGAACTTGCTCACAGCAACGATGCCAATAACTGATGGGAAGTGAAGGGAACAGAGGGAAGAAGCCCTCATCTGTTGTCACCTCCTAGGGCAGAGCCATCCTTGTCCTTCCAGCTTCCTACTCACTCCGACTTCGATGGGCCTACCTTCTTTAATCTGTGGAAACTGGGCTTCTGGGAAAGCATCCAAATCAGTATCTAACTAAAGCAGCGCCTCTCGCTTCCCAAAGCTTAATAAACAGATAAGAAAAATAATTTGGGTAGCGGTTTTCTCTGAGCTCCTAAAATTCTACCCAGAGGCCAGCCCGTAATGATGTGGGTCCCTGCATGTTCATAAAATATCCCAATGCCCTCTGCTGTCCTGATGCACCCTTCAGTTAATACTTTTACTTTAAAAAACATAGCTTTACTCAATGTTTTAGGATCTGGTGCTTTAGCTCTGATGTGTAATCTTTCAAGCCCCACGAAGTCATAGCCTCTATCTCGAGGCTCAATCCCAGCCAACAGTGGGGGCATTGGCTCTTTGTCCCATCTCCATCCAGCTCATATTAAAGAGCAGCAGATGGGGGATACCAGGGAAACATGCATGTCATCTCCAAAGACTACCACCAGCAGCTTGGCTTGACCGATATGCATTGCTTAAAGCCAACTGAAGGGATACAGAAAAGTCCAGGCCAGCTCTGTACACAGCAATACAAGGAAATGGGGTCAGGCTCAGCCAAAATGGATGTCAACTGATCTTCTCCATTCTCTGGCCAGTGAACCCATGTAATGTTCTATGAGGCATTAACTAAGAATAGGGTGTGATAGAAAAATACAGTAATTATCTACATAAAAAGAAGCATGACAGTAAAAGAACCACTGTCATTAATTCCATTCAAAATACTCTCCTTTACTTCAAACATACTTAACCCAACATTCTTGCCACTTTCTGAAGCAGTTCTGGAAGTCCTCTTTCATGCATGTCTTCAGTTGTAGTGTTGCGGCTGCCTCAGTGTCCTGAATTGATTAAAAATGTAAGCCCTTCATGGTCATTTTAACCATGACTTTAGCAGAAGACCCTGAAGTTGTATGGCACCA